TGCTCTTTTTCTGGTAATTGGGTAATTGCCGCAGAGAGAATAAAGGGAGGAGAAAAGTGTGGACGCGTTGGATTGGCTGGTTTGTTTTTTTTTTAATTATTCTTTGTATAAGTTAATTATAAGTTATTGTTGGTGTTGGACTAGTGGATATACCTGTCCAGTCCACAACGTCTAGGAAAAAATCTGATGCTTACGTGATATGAGGAATATAAGTTCACGCGGACAAAAAGAGCATGTCGTGATGAGACTCGTTAAGCGGTGTTTGCTGATTCTTTAAAAAAAAAAAAAAAAAAAAAAAAAAAGGTTAAACCCTAACCTTAAGGGTCTCCCACCACCCCTACCCTGGAGCATCGTGAGGGAGGTAAATCGCAGGTTATGCCTCCAAGGGTACAGGGTGGAAGGCTGCTTGTACACTTGCACTTACCCAAGAGTCAAATCCATATTTCAGGATTCGAACCCTTGACGCAGCAGCCTCAAGCAAAGCTGGATTTCTCCACCCTCCCCTTTTACCACTTGGAGATGTGCCCTGAGGGCGGTATTTGCTGATTCTTTGTACCACGAAGGTTCGACTCGAAAAATGTAGGATGCCTAGCTGATTGAACAGTGTTGTTGAAGGTGTCATGGATTGGTCTACCTTCGAAGGTCGAGTATGCTGGATTTGATATTATAGCTTGTAGCTTAGAACTATCTCAACTCGATCTGTCACGATAGTCGAGAAGCATAGGCCTATTATGGGTCACGCCATACTTTTCCTAAAGTACATTGGCAAGATTTTTTTGTGCTAATATTAAAAGTAAGATCCTGAAAGAATAGATACAATTCGATTTGCTTTTACAAGTTGCTTTTTATATGGTTTAAACGAAACTTTGAACATGTATAGCTATTTTTTCAATAATAAGGTTATTTGTATAATTGTGATTGACAACATTGATGTTGTTAAATCAAACCGTTGTTTTTAAAAGCAGTTTTTAAAATAGATTAATGTGATGTCAAATATGTATTGTCAACTAAGATTGTAAAAAAATATTGTACAAGTAGCATGATCGTTTTTCCACGTAATGTACACGAGATCAAGAAATTAAAAGTAATGTAAACATCAACCAAAAAATAATTACTAAGACAAAAACATCAAGAAATTAAAAGTAATGTACACACCATAAAAACAATGTGACACATACATAAAAGTTTTGGTGTCTTGTAATAAAGATTCAATAACTATTAAATAATGTACACCCGTAGGACTAAGACGGCAAAATGTTCTTAATCCACACAATTATACATTTATACTTTAGAAAATATTGCAATTTGTAATGCACCCACGTATCCATTACATGTTCCATAACATATTTATTTTAATTCTTAATATAAAACGTGACTTGAAATTCCTTGGCCTAGAAATGTCGGTTTTTGCCTGTCATGGAAAAAGTTTATGTGATGTGGGTCCAATGATTAATAGTCACAGAACAATGATTAATAATCAGGAACTTAAAGGTTAAACACCAACCTTGAGGGCCTATCGCCCTGCATCTGGAGCAACGTGAGGGAGATAAATTGCGGGATGTACCCCAACAGATCAGGGAACAAGAATTTGTCTATACACTAGTGCCCACAAAAAGTCCAATTTCATATCCCAGAAATCGAACCCTCACATTACGACTGCCAACAAGGCTGAGACTACCTCACTTCTGTCATTTGTGTCACTGGGATATGTCTCGGGAGACTAATAATCAGGGAACTTAGTTTGGCATTAGGTAGCTGAAAAGGTTTATTAACCTATACACCATATTAAATAAAAATAATAATTTTTAAAAACTTTCTAGGGTTGTTTTGAAATAATAATTAATCAAATTCGTATCCTTCACAATGATAGTTGCGAACTACCGATGGATGAGCCTTGTAATAGAAGAATATGTTGCCTGGAAAGTGACTCAAAAATTCTTGATTAATCATATTTTTTTGGATACATTCCATTAACCCCAAAATTTGTCTTACCACAAAGTCTGTTAGAATGCAAAATTGATGCCCCGAAGGTGGTGGAAAAATAATTTGGAATACAATTACATCGTTACATTAAAACCCTCTTCAATCATCTTACGTCCATGTCAGCCCACTTAGAACTAGTCTTCTATTTGAAGTGGTACTCGAATCTTTGATACCAAAGATGGTTGTTAAAACTATTTATTTAAAAAACTGGCTTAACTTATAAGAGAATTTTAAATTAGCCAAACATGCTCAATCAAAGTTGGAAATGGATGACTGAATGATTGACCTCAGATGGAAGAATCGTCTGGTAAGGATGAATGTCAATGTAACTGAGCATCCAAAATGCTGTTAATTAACGGTTAAATTTATTACAACAGAATTTTTTATTTTTTTTCCTTCTTTACCCATTTTGCCACATAAAGGGGAAAAAATTAGTTATGCAAAATTATCTTGTGCACATTCCAAAGTTCGGACATAAAGAGAACTTATGGACGGAGCAGGACATGTCCAGCACATTTCGACACCCTTAGAAATTCTTACATTAAAATTTTCTGTATTGCAATTTCTTTACTAACACTTATTCCAATACTTGAGGATATCGCATGATATAAGGTTTAGTTTCTGAATTCAATAGCTTTAGATTTATTTACATAAACAGTCAAAATGTAATTTTATTCATATGGTGATTTCAAGAAAACCACATTCGCCATGGTACATTTGACCGGACTTAACCGTTGAATGTGTTTTCATTGTCTTGTCTAATTCAACATAGTAAATATACCCAAAGATTCTAATTGATACCCTGGAAAATTAATCCTTCATCAAAGAACGATAGTTGACTGATATTTTACTGAATTAAACCTTTGATGCAAAGAGAATTTCGTTCTCACCTACCGCTCGAATAGAATTAATATAGGCTTTTGAGACACTCCATCAAGGCATCAGTGTGCTCGGGCTTCCCAACAGAGACCCGAACGTATCCGGACAGTTCTTTATTATTGTAGTGACGAATCATCACGGCCATTTTCGCAAGGTCTTCCTGTAAGAAGCAGCACTGCCAATTTGACTTCTATATTTTTCCAAAGTTAAAAGATGAAAACACAGAGCACACATTCATGATGAGTTTGGATTTCATTTGATATAGTTTCTGAAATTTAAAAAAGTAATTATGCATGATGAGTTCAAGGCCTAGGGAATAACTTAAAAAGTACACATAAATAAGCCACAAGCAATAATCCAGGTCCAGAACTTGATGGAATTAAGGGGAAACAAAAACAGAATATATTAAAGAACAACAAGAACCCCGAAAGCAAGTCAAAGTTTTGTACCTTCAACTTCTTAGCATCCATTCCAGATGTAACCTCACAAAGAATGAAATTAGAATAGCTTGGATATGGATTGAGAAATGGTACTTCTCTCAAAAGTTTAAAAAGTCGCTCCCTTTCTTGCACCAAAGCCACTTTAATATTCTGGAATAGATGGTGTAATAAATGGCAAATTCAAAGTCAATGATTGGTATTTTATGGACTCTCAAGGTCTATAATAAACAAGAGGCAATTGCCAGATGAGTGTTGTTATTGTACCTCTAGATACACCGGATTCTTTAAGGCTGCACACGCTGAAATTTCAGCAGCAACGGACACATTATATGGTTGCTTGGCCCTCCATAAATATTCAATAATGCTCAATGGAAATGCTCCATATCCAACTCGAAGTCCTGCTAAACCTGAATTACCGGGTATTAATAATAAGCAAACATGATCTCAAATTCACACAAATACGTAAGATTTTAAATTTAATAAGTCGGTCTGTTAAGGATGAGGATTGGCTTAATTCAGAGGTAAGAACCTAACGAAGCTATCCATTAGAACTAAAAAATAAGCAACTAGAAATAGAAGTTTTGGACTCAGGAAGTTGGTTCAAATTTTTGAGTGATTAGGAGATGTGCATATTTAGTTCAGAGCTGACCAAGTTTAGGTCTCTTTTGAGGTTAATATCAGTTTCTTGAGGGTTCTTTACACTTCTGAATGCCACGAAATACCTTGGGAACTTCTTAAAATCATATAATATATTGCGAGATTAACTTGAATCCCTAGGCTATTCTCAAAATATGTTCGTACAAGGAAATTGTTCTGCTAAACAAGTCTTAGGAATGAACTTAGTCTTATGGTTACTAAAGTGGGAAGTAAGTACTAGATGGCATAGGGAATTAGTTGGAGCCTGCATAAGAG